AAATTCGAAGGAAGCCAGGCGCTCGGCTATCAATAAGGTCGTTCGCAGATTCAATGACACTTATCCCCCTGATAGGCATAGCACTGGGTGAACTCTTGAAGTAGACATTAGGGCACTGGAACCGAAATATCTCCAATAAAGATGGCTCCGGCAAGGCTAGTTGACTCGGGTCCATCGTTCAGTAATCACGAAGCTTGCTTTCAGTGCGTAATGGATCAAAATGTCATTCACAGGGATTTATCGAGAGTTTAGTGTAATGAAATACTTTGGTAGACGTTTAGTTCATTGCTATACCCGCTCAGATCATTTAGTAAGTACATATGTTCACACTATGAGCTATGTCATAAACCGAGGCCTTTTTGGAGCCACTCTATGGAGGAATGGAAACAATGTGGGGTTCAAGCCGCTGCGAGCCAATTTCGGTCCGCAGGAAGTAACCGCTAGTGGAGACCAAGACGTGATCCCCAATGGTAATGTGAAACCCACGTAGCAGAACAATGTAGGGGCAACGGACGCGGAAAAGGCTGGGTCGTCGTCTGCGACACCATAGTGTGCAGGCTGTTCTAGCCAGACTTCCACCACGGAATAGAAAAGACTTGATACCTGCCACGGAACCCAGCCGTCTGACCAATCGCATTCCTATTTTAGCTTCTTTGAATAATGCCCACAATGTCACTTGCAGAATTACCGACTGAATTATTATGTTTTATTATAGACTACGCTCAGCTCCACGGAAGCTTAGGAAATCTTTCACAATCTAATTGGAGGATTCGGACTCATTGTGCTCCCTATCTGTTTCACACAATCAATATCGCTTTCTCGGTAGCTAAGTTCAAACATCTACGTCAACTATCCAAATCCTACATTGCTCAGCATGTGAAGGCCATCCGTTACGAAGCCCCGGAGCTCATAGACCCTCGTTGGTTTTCAATGCACCCGCAAAGTATTCATATCATGCTAATCTCTAGATAGATATCGAAGCATGGGATTATTTTCGCTCCTGCGTTTACACACCATCAGAGTATAACAGAGATCAGAGAGAGCTCTGTTGGAACTTCCACGGCAGAAGAGTCTCATACAACATGATATACTCATACTTTGCTGAGCTAGCCCGCGAACAGCAGACTATCTTAATGGAACGTATAGATTCTATCACATTGGTTCAATGCATTCCTCGCTTCTTGCATCTGCAAAGTATCGAGTTGTCCTTTATTGATAGCACTAAAAAGCCGTTTTGCTGGCTCTCAGGCCGCCTATTCGTTGGTTGGAGAGATTCCTACCCTGTCCACTTTGAGACGGTTATCGATGCCATGGTAGCAGCAAGGCGCAATGGGATTATAGTGCGGAAATTCAAAGTCTCTGGATTTTATTCGAAGATTTCTATGCCAGGCACAAGTCTCCTTAGAAAGGTTATGGAAGCACTGCATAATGTTGAAGACCTGCGACTTGTTGATAGTTCCAGGCTTTTGAATTTTATGTGGCAAGTTAGCCTTCCTTCTGTTCGTCGTCTTGAACTAGCGAAATGTTGGCTATCAGTCAAAGATCTTGAGGAATTCTTCCACGTACACTCAGGAACACTCCACTCTTTGCATCTCGAGGATACATGGTTACCTACGGAAACTGTTCATGAATGGGGGATTAGTTTATGTTCAGGAACCATAGAAACAATTGTGGATAGGTTAGCGACTATTCGAAGGTTGGGAACCTTGCGCAGGCTTACGATTAATGAGAAGGCAAGCGGCTGCTGCTACCAGTACAAGGAGCTATTCGACGGGATCTCGACAACTTGGAGTATAGAATAGTGAATTGATTTAGGAAAGAGTCCTTATTACTGGCACCGAACATGCAATATAAAAGGGTTAAGATGGTGTTTGCCTCTGGCATTATTGCCTACGGGAGGTACAGAATCATTGATAATCTAGCTACTTGTCGAGAATCAAACATCTTGTAAAAGCTTACTGGCCAGAACAAAGAATTCAGCCGTTACAAATATAATGATTTTTTTGGTAACATCTTAACAAAGCTCACTTCAAAAAGAGCGCTTAGTGTTGGATGATATGGGGTTACACCGTGTTATGGACATAGACACAGTTAAAGAGAGATATCTGCTCCAAGGGCTATTTTAGGTCCTCCAAAAATGGGACAGTAAAGTGGGAGCTACCCGTACATAGCTGGTCCTCCCTTGGTTCAGGCTTCTATTGTTCTATACCTGGGAATTACTAAGCTGGTTTTCTCTCTCGACGTCGTGGAATTTCCCCATCGGTTCTATCGAAGCGATGCATTGGCCCTCCACCGCCAACACCCTAGTATTTATATCTCAATACGCTCTACTATCTGTAATACTACGCCTATTTTAGAAAGCCACCGAAGTGTAGATACCCCAGTATACAATAATTATTATCTGGACCAACCCAAATAGGATGAGTGTCATGTCAATCTTCTCCAACTGCTAAGTTAGTAGATGCGACAATGCGAGTCCTTGTCTTCAGTGGAAATATTTAATTGTGTTCGTGCTCATGGCACTCGCGGAAATTAGCCCCACTATTTCGCGGACCCCTTAGGGACTGCAGCTTGGCCATAACCTTTCGAGGGCGTATATAACTGGGCGATAGTGACACAGACGCCCTCCGTCCTATACAATGCATATGGTTACCAGTGGTTTCTAAACATAATTCACAATATGGTTATCGAAAATTTTAATCGATTTATACAGTCTGTCGACAAGGTTTACGCCGTTGTATTTGCCAGTTTGTTTGGCATTCTGGTATTCTACAACATCCTAAGTGGATTGTATACCATGTTTTCGAGGTGTCGATACTATCATCTAAGAAGGCTGATGTACCAAATACCTTTTCGAAATATGTTTAGAATGCCGTCACTTCAGCGTCTAGTTCTCACAACAGCATATCTAGTGGGGACAGGTGTCTGCAACTTTGTGGGCGTCCAATCTCTGCCAGAAGCAGGGTCACGGGCAGCTCGCCTGTCATTGATTAACCTCATGTCTTTGTTCTTCTCTGGGGGCAACGAGTTTGGCGCACGCCTTCTCGGCGTGTCACTTGGTACGTATGGAGCCTTTCATCGGACTGTTGGGTTTGTCACTGTTATTCAAGCCATCATCCACGTTGTGATCATTGCGAAGACGAGATCAATTTCTGCATCGGATAACTTGCAGTTCTATGGTATCTTGGTATAGTCTCCCTATTCTTCATATATGTCTAAACAGAACTGACAAACACCGCCGCAATAGGCAGCAAGCATGTTTCTTTCCCTTGTTATCTTACCCTTAGTCAGGAAAAGAGTATACGAGGTTTTTTTAAGGACACACCAAGGATGCGCAATAGTGGCGCTTTATGCCATTTGGCAGCACACTCATATCATGCAAAGCACTGATGCCTGGGTGTATCTTCGGGGGTGTGCCATTGTCTTCATTGTGTCGTTCGGAGCACAACTAATCCGTATACTCTTTCGAAACCTGGTTATTGGGAGAAAATGCACAAAGCTCACATTGCATACATATGGGGAAAACATTGCGCGCTTGACGTTAACCCTTCCTCGGCCATGGGGTGTGCGAGCTGGGGAGCGTGTT